AGAGAGAGAGAGAGAGAGAGAGAGAGAGATCTTACTGAGACATGTGAAAATGACATGTTGGATGAATGCATCGTTCATTGTGTGTACTTGCATGCGTGTGTGTGTGTGTGTGTGTGTGTGTGGTGCACGCTCGCATGCATGTGTATGTTTGTTTGTGCGTGTGTGCATGCTTGCATTTGTTTGTTTGTTTGTTTGTCTGTTTAGTCTTATATTGAGCACTCACGTATTTTGTTCTCTTTGTAGATAATTTATTATCATACACATCTGTTGGCATTTTACAGGCTAAATATTAGACATAATTGTCATTTTCTTATCTGGGTTAATTGATCCATATGGTTTCATTATTTCAGTTGATTTTTTGCTTATAGATTTTCTGCATGCCTTTTAATTTTTATTGTTTCAATTTAACATTTGCATTCTATTCCCTGTTTTTTTTTCAATATGGTACTTCATTGTTCCCTGAAATAGACATGTATCTGTCATTTTTGCAGAAAATTTCAGAGCTCTATGTACAGGTACTCCAAGTTGGATCTAGTTGGTTCTTTCAGTGATAATTCTCCTGCATTTGTTAAGTTTATATGGGCTTTTGAAACTTTCTGTGGCTTTCTTCCTTTTTGATGGAATTCACCACTCTGGCTGAGTATCTAAATTCTATCCTTTATGTCCTTAGTCTAGTGTTTAGAAGTGCTCTCGTATAGTGAGGAGTTCTGCAGAACACCTTATCATTGTCCTCTGCATTGTCTTCATTACAGATGAGAAAGGGATAGGCATCAATGGGAAGAAATTACACTACAAAGGTACACCCTTTCACCGTATCATCCCTGGCTTTATGATGCAAGGTGGTGACATCCTTCATGGAGATGGAAGGGGGAGCGAATCCATTTATGGAGGAACTTTTCCTGATGAAAATTTCAAGATTAAACATTCCAGTGCAGGTGCTCCCTCCAATATTTTGTTATGTTATCTCTCTTTTATTTCTCTGTGGAGCAGTTTTGACCTAGCATAGAATGCATCCTTAGAATTTTAGTAAAGATGCTGCTCATAAAATCTTATCATGATTCACTGCAGATTGTAATGATTATTTTTTACATGATTGTAAATTCTTTACTCAAATGGGCCAGTTGTTCCTCCAAAATATTTTGTAAACTTGTGTTAAATTTTATTTAAATGGCCGCCAAATCTGGGGTACCAAATGGGACTCCTGTTATCCTATGAATCATACTGTCATTGGTGAGCTTTTTCTTCCGGGACTAGGTCCTGAATTTAAAGTGGGAATTTTATAGTTGTTCAAAACAACCTAATATGCGAGTGTTTGGTGTCTTGAGTGTTCACTACATGGAGCCCAAGCTGTGATCATGGTGTCTAGTGTGTCCATTACATGTGGCTTTATTATTGTCTTTTTAGATGAACCAGATGCTGATCACTAGCTGCAATATACAGGCGTGATCATTACATGCTTAGGGCTTATGTTTTTCTTTTGGCAAAAAGTGGAATCTTGAAACTCTTCAAATCATTTTTCATATAATTTGCATAAAAACGTGGAGGTGGTACAAATTATATATACATATTTCTCATCATATTAGTTTCGATAGTAAACAATCAAGGCATTTCAAGTATGTGAATCTTGAAAAGGATTATTTTGTTTTTTTAAATAATAACGTGTCAATAAGGGGAAAAAATGTGTTAATAAGGGAAAGCTATACATTAAGTTGTACACATACACACCAACATGCACGTCAGAAGAGAGGAAGAGAAAGAAAAGGAGGGGATGACAGATTGGTGTAAGAATGAGCTCTTGCGTGGAAAACTAAGTGCGAGGAGCCATGTACACATGCAAGGAGCTCAAATGAGTTATAGTTCAAGGTCTGACAGAAATGTCAAGCATCTAAAATGACTTACAGCTGGGTTTAAGTCCAGCTATGAAGCACTAATAAGCTCGTTGGGTTACATGTCTCATTGAAAGCATTTTGTTGATGATTGTTGAAATATCTGCTGCATGGCATTGGCTAAAATTAGATTTCATCCTCTTCAAGGCTCTTCTTTCCATTGCGGAATATTGGCACATCCCAAAAACTCAAATGGCCGTAGTGTTTTCTTTATGCCCTTAATGCTTTCTTCAAGGCCTTAGATGTGCAACCATCATTGGATTAACACTGATCAGTTTTTTGTTTATGAGTTGGATTGAGTTAACTTCACGTTCTTGCTGGACTGAGAACTCCAGCCAAAGAGATTGCAAATCGTCAATTCCATATGGAAGTCTCTATTTTTCTTGGCTTCATAGTAGATCACAACAGTTTGTTTACAACTGAAACATTTTTCTCATTTGAGAATATTAAGCACTTAATGGCTTCTCCAGAATAATAAACCCTTTGATTTCCCATAATGTATTCATTCTTGTTCTTGCTTTCAGGTATCGTGTCCATGGTGAATAACGGCCCTGATTCTAATGGATCCCAATTCTTCATAACCACTGTTAAGACTAGCTGGTAAGCATCTTCCATTATACAATGTAGTGTGGCTCCTTTCTCTCCCTTATTCTGCCACTTGATGCCATGTGGATTCTTTTGTTTAAAGGCTGGATGGGGAGCATGTTGCTTTTGGGAAGGTAATTCAAGGTATGGACACTGTCTTTGCAATAGAGGGAGGGGCAGGGACATATGATGGAAAGCCTCGGAAAAAAGTTGATATAGCTGATTCAGGGGAGATACTGTTAAACAAGTTGGAGGAGGATTTCAATTCATAACCATATTCTGCATCTGGATTACTGAATGATGCATCAAGGCAGTCCATCCACTGCTGATTACTGTATCTTATCCACGAGAACTGAATCAGAAACATTGAGAGTTCTTCTTATTAGGGCATCTAGCCAGTTTGACACTTTTTTCATTAGGTTAGCTGTGCGGAAGCTTAGCTCTGATCTTATCAGGAGCTCTAATTAGTGAGTTCATTATTGTACATTAAATCATTCGTTTGATGTAACACAGTAACTGTTGTAAAGGAATTGCGACTGGTTATGTTTATGGGATTGTCTACAAAGAGACCATGTATCATAGAGGTCATAATCATTTCCACTCAATAGATGTCAAATTGGATGTTTTGGGGTGAGTCATGAAATCTGATAATATTTTTTTGGAACTTTGTGTCTATTCAATGGCACTCTTACAATCGCTCATTGTGAATTTAAGGGACAAAAATGATTATGACCTCCATGTATAAAAGCTAAATGGGCTCATTGTAGACAATCCTTATGTTTATTTGCAATTTTATCAAACTCCTTACAAGCTCTTTATGCCTAGCTTGTTGAGGTCTTCATCCTTACAGGCCTTGACTGATTGGCATAAGCTCTTTGTAGTGAGTGTTATGTTTGTCATATCTTTTTGCCCATAATTTTCAGTAGGGTTTGTATAATATGATAAATTTAGCAACTGAATGAGATGCGAGATGCTAAATTCTAACATGTTGTTCACCTTAATAACTTGAGAGCACCATAGATATTTTTACTTTTGAAAGATGAGGGGATGTCGATGAGAGCACCGAATTTTTTTTTTTCTTTTGAAAGAACAGAGAGGATGGTGGGAAAGGGACGATGGGTTAGGGCGCCCTTGCCCCAGATGATGAAAGATTAAGCTGCCTGTAAACTGTCAATTGAGAAGAGGAAAATAACTGCTATCCTGTACCTATCAATACATCCTAATGCACAATTCAAACCTCTCATATGGTGACATGTTTTGATGTGCTTTACATCTGCTCTCCTGGGTATTCCCTTCTACAGCTAACCAATTCCATCCATTAACCAAATTGTTGTGAACCCCAATGTAGGTATTATCTGCTACTCACTTGGAAAACAACCAAAAGCATTTGTCATTGTTCAAAAAGCTTGCCTCATTTTGTATGCCAAAAAGAGAGTGCGAGGGGATCCTTTGGGCAATTCGTTGAAAACGGCAGCCTCATTTTATTTTATTTTTGGGTGCATTTCAATCTTCTTGCTGCAAAATTTAGACTCTATGGGATGCTTTCCTTTGAACTCTAATCTTATTAACATGCAAAATTTTCTCTTTTGATTTTCTCCGTCGATACTGCGCTACAGGTCAGTTCGCTCATCTACTCGGTTATATTGTGCTATGTCAGTTTGCTTATAATCACCTTTTTATATTTACACTTGTGGAAAAAGATTGTTAGTTTTTGTTATGATGCTTCTATATATGGAGTATTTTTTTAGTATTCAATATTTTTTTATACTTACTACCGTAACTTTACAATGTAGTAATATTTTTTCTCTATGGGTATTTTAGATAATTAATCAAAAGTAAAATAGATATTCAATAAAAAAAAATGTATTTATTAGGCTATGTTTGATTGCACTCAAATCTATATATTTCAGAATTTTGTATAATTCAAATAATTTTTTATATTGAAAAAAAAAAATTTATTTGACAGCCCAAAAGCGCATCCCGAAATATCAAGATATTCACACAAAATCTATATTTTCAAAAATTCTAGTATGACTTGAATTTTACGAAATATGATTTCTCCGTCAAAATAACTTTTGCGTCTCCTCACTGTATACGAGCACTCTCTCTAAGATGAGCCTCTCTCTCTCTCT